ACATACATACATACATACATACATACATACATACATACATACATATATATATATATATATATATATATATATATATATAGCAATAGCAATAGCAATAGCATATATATATATATATATACACACACACACACACACACACATATATATATAGCCTCATCAGGGTTGGGTTTACCTTGGGGGGTTGGGGTGGGCCTGGCAAAGGTGGCCGTGGCCAGCTCAATGTCACCTGTATTAGGGGTGCCTGTGGTGGGCCTAGTGCTCTGCCAACAAAAACAGCCTCCCAAGCTCTGTTTTTGGCTTCAACAGCCTCCTGCAACCCTCTGCCAACTTCTTCTGAGGCACAGGCCACAAGTGAGTCTTTTGAATGATCTCAAGCAGTGGTGGATTCCTAACCGCTTTACTACCAGTTCACTGCACACGTGTCCACAATTGAACAAAAATTAGTCAGAAAAATGGAAAACAGCTGAGCAGCAATTCAAGCTGCAATCCTGGATCACCTGAGCTTTGGAAGCTGAAATAAAGGTAACTATAACCCAGGGGCTGCGAGCCCACTTTAAAGAATAAAACAGAGAACCAGTTCACTCTCTGTTTGAAGGCAGCACTATCGGTTCAGGAGAACCAGTCCGAACCAGTAGGAGCCCACCTCTGATCTTAAGAAACCCATTATAAAAAGTAATTAGTATGATCAGGAGGACGGCCCTGTTTCATGTTTAAAAATATGAATAAATCATTAAAATCAAGTCTAAATAGAATTTTGAAGTTAGATATTGAGGAAAAGCAGGAAGTGACGGAAGAAGAGGGGGGTGATAAGGAAAAGGTAGAAATGGTGGAAAATAACAATCAGGCAAAAAACATCATTGGATTTGACAGTAGTATAGGGAAAATTGAAAAGGGGGGATGTATCCCAACAAAAGGAAATAAAAAGGAGACAAAAGATCTCACTGAATTTGACAGTGGCATAGGTAAAACTGAAGAGGGGGCTTATGTCCCAACAAAGGGAAATACAAAAGATTTCACTGGGTTTGACAGTGGCTTGGGGAAAATTGAAGAGGGTGGACATGTCAAAATAAAGAAAAGGGAGAAGACAGGAATAGAGAATTGCGATAAAAGACTTATTAGGGAAGCCCTGTTTCATTTTAGAGTTAGTCCTTAATTTACAACTATTTGTTTAGCGGCTGTTCAAAGTGATAATGGCACTGAAAAAAATTACTTATGACCAGGGGTGGTATATACACCTACCTTCCCTACTACTTTGCAAATGTGAGTGCACGTGCCACCTCCACACATGCACAGATCCTTCAGCGCATGCACTTTTGGTGAAATGGGATGCCATAGAACCAGGCATGGGTTGGCAGAACCATCCACAATTTCCGCTACCGGTTCAGATGTTCCACTCCGAACCAGTAGAATACTAGCTCTGCTTATGACCTTTTTCACATTTACAAAGATTGCAGCCTTCCCGCGATCAAAACTCAGTTGCTTGGCAACTGGTTCATATTTATGATGGTTGTAATGTCCTGGATCATGTGAACCCCTTCTGAGAAACAAAGTCAACAGGGAACCAAGATTCACTTAATAACCGGGTCACAAACTTAACAATTGCAGTGATTCATTTAACAACCGTACCCACTCCCACCCTTATTTTCCAGTTATTTTCATATATATATATATATATATGAAATCGGCTTTATCAGCACAAATACACACACACACACACACACACACACACACACGCGTGCGAGAGAGAGAGAGAGAGAGAGAGAGAGAGAGAGAGAGAGAGAGAGGGAGTGATGGGGCAAAATTCACTTAACAATTGTCTCAATGAGCAACAGAAATTTGGCCTCGATTGTTCTCACAAGTTGAGGGCTACCACTATTTCATTTGTTCTTAAATTAAATTAAGTATAGGTAATAGAGTAAACCCTCCATTATGTATTGATTAATGTGCTTCCTTTTATCATAGCAAAAATGGCAAGCTGTTTCTAATTTAATGTGTGATTTTATTGCTGCGTTTATAACTTGACCTGTCCTTGACATTAAGGTCAACTCTTGTTATGTCACTCCCATCACATCCTTCCAAAGCATTTTTGCCTAATTAAAAAAAACTACGATATATCCAGCTTATTTTAAGGTGGAGTGGAGATTTCAAGCTGAGTCTCCCCAACACCAAAGTTCTTCTGCTAGAAGAAGTAGCATTACCAATCTGAGAAGTTCTCATACTCACTTAATGGACCGGCACATGTCAAGCCCCATCTTGACGCAATTCCGGGCATGGTTCGGCAAAGATACAGGCAATCCAGACACACAATAGTAGCAATCCCCTAAGATCTTGATCCTCATGCATTCATTATCCTAGGGGGGGGAATCAGAAATATAATTCCTGTTGTGGCCCACAGATCTGGCAGCAGATTCGGACAATGGGGAGGTTGGGGAAGAACATGGGCCAGTCCTGGAGTCTGGGGAAGGCTCTGATGAGTGCTCTATGTCAGAGGCAGAGATGGGGCCAAGGTCATCTGACAGTTATCAGCTGTCTTTGGAATCGGACAATAGTGGGACAGAAGAACAGCGGGAGCCTGTTTCCAGTGTGTGCATGCGCAGAGCTGCCCAGAGAATGGAAAAACTAAGAAACAAGGGTCGACTCAGAAGCCACAGATGGATGATGAATGGCCCTTCCTAGAGGAAACAAAAGACGAGTGAAAGGGGAGTGGAGTTGGGAGGAGACAATTAGTTCACTTAATTGATTCTTGACTCTCCGAGACTCCTTCCAAGTTTTGCAGATATTGGCCTGGCAGCTCTCCAAACCAGATAAGGTCTGTGACTGTAAATCCTCCCTTGAAAGACTTTGCTGAATGTGAATGAGCAGAATTCACAGTAAATTAATAAAGGGTTTTTTGTTGGGACAAGGAGTTTGCTTCATTCTCTGGTGAAGGTCAGAGCAGGCCTAGAGGGAGTGACTGGCCCAGAGTTACCCAGGAGACAATTAGTCCAATTCATTACGGTGAAGATCTGTTCCTGACTTCTTGCCAAGTAATGTCTGCTACAGAGTGATGCTTGGAAGATATCAGTCTGACACCTCTCCAAATCTGATAAAGGGTTGTAGTTATGAAATCTCTTGAAAGACTATTGGCCAGGACTTTGCTGTAGTGGAATTCACTTTAAACTAAATAAAACGGGTTTTATCAGGACAAGGAGTCAGCTTCGTGTTTTTGTGAAGCCTAGGTCAGAACAATTCCATTCTGAAGCCACCATTTTGGTCACCTTGGCAAGAGATGGTCACCTTATCCCACTTTGATTTATAGACCATTCTGGAGAGAATTCAAAATGGCGAGCAAACTTTCAGAATGGAAATAGTCTTTAGGAGGATAAAGCACATATTAAAAATTAACCATAATCTAGCCATGAAGACCACCAACAATGACAAGTCTATAGGTTTACAGATTTTCTAAACTTTGAGAGAATGGAGGCCCAGTAAAGCTTTAGAAGAATGGCATTTCTGTCATGGGCTTCGACAGGGAGGAGAACTACAGAAGAGCCTCTCTGGCAGTTCTTCATGATTGAACAGGTTCGTAACATGACAGATGATCCTTTAGTGAAACCCAAACTGCTTAAAAAGTCAATTTTAGAAATTGCGCTGTGGAAACCACTGGCATCCAGCATAGCATTTGCAAGTCAGGCACTTATTTATTTATTTATTTGATTGCCACCCATCTCACCATTAGGCCCTTATATAGGATATCAACAAAGGTATCAATAGGGTAAGTAATAGGTACTTTCCAACAACAGTCAAGACAGAATATAACCAAGGCATGCATAAACCTTGTGGGTTACTTGATTTTTTTGGAGGGAGATCAATACTTACCTTGGCAATCTGATCAAACTTGCCAAAGAGTTCATTGAGCATCAACACCAGCTCTTTGGGAGAACATTCACTGGCCAGAAGTGTGAAGCCAACAATATCTGCATAGAGGATGCTGTGGGAGGAGAAAGGCAAAGGAAAGAAGATAAATGCTTCAAAGCATTGTCTACAGCAGGGGTCGGCTCTGGAGCCGCATGTGGCTCTTTCATCCCTCTGCTGCGGCTCTCTGTTGCTGGTCAGCTCCACAATTGATGGGGCTTCTGGTTAGGACATGCAGAGGAAAAACGATGCCGTGCTAAGAGGAGACTCTATGGTGGGGGAACAGGACTTCCGGTTGGCTCCAGAATTCAATGGGGGGATTCCGGTTAGGACCTTTGTGACTCTTTGAGTCTTTAAGGTTGTCGATCCCTGGCCTACAGGGAGGACTAACAACTCCTCCAAATTCACCACCCTTCTCTTCCTTCAACCACAAAAGTCCCACCAAGCCATCCTGCATGTAGCAGATGCCTTCAAATCAAGTACCTGACATTCTGGTGCCTCTTGACATAAAGATTGTGGAAGTTGTTGGCACTTTCATGCGGACCCTGGGGCTGGTCTCCATCCCGGAGTCTCTCAATGATCTCAGCCTTCATTTCCAAGGCAATGTAAGCAGGGAGGATGGAGAGGAGCAAATGTTCCTAGGAGTAAGCAGAAGATGTGGAGGAAAAACATCAATGGAATGAGTTGTGGAACCTTCTCATAGATGTAGGACTTATCTCAGGTGGAGACAGCATGAATCCACTCACTGCTAAGCAGGGGTGAGCTTCCAAAATTGCAGCAACAGGTTCTAGTTTAGTTTATTGGTTTTGTATGCCGCCCACTCCTGAAGGACTCGGGGCTGCTTTCAATAAAAAGGGAAGGGGGATAAATAAGACAAAACAATAATTTCTCTGCCCAGTTTCTGGGTGGCCAGGGCCATGGTGGCTGTGGCCTAGTCAACCTCCTGCACCATGGCAGGGAGGGCATTTTTGCCCTCCCCAAGATCCAGAGGCTTTTCTTGAGCCTCTGGGAGCATGAAAACTGCCTCCCTGGGGCTCCAGGGGCCTTCAGAGACTGGAAACAGGCCAATTTCCAGCGTTTCAGAACTTCCAGAGGCCTGTTTTTTCCCCTCCCTGAGCTTCTATACAGGCCCTCTACTTACTTGCCATCCAAAACAGGCTGCATGGAGACTCTTGGGAGGGGTCAGCCAGGAGTGGGATTTTTAGGGTCACCAAACTGGGAAGAATCCTAGCTAGAGGATCACCTGAACCTGTGTGAACCCGCAGCAGCCCACCTCTGCTGTTGAGTTCTTTTTACACTACAGTGTGAACATCTTGAACATCTCCAAATCACTGTTTGACAGAGCCTTTCTTCAGATGGAGAAAAGTTCTATCTAACCTGCTTAGCTTTTTCAAGATCCAACAAGAGTAACTACAGCAAATATCTCTCCCTATGTGTCTCTTGCCTTCCACACTCACCTGGTGTCGCTTCTCCGACTCCAGCTTAACTCGAGATTGGATGAGGTTGAAGGTCTCATGGAAGGTCTCACCCAGGGCCACTTCCATCAAATACTTGTGGTAGGCACCCACCAAGTTACCACAGACAAAGATGACTAGATTGGCAAGTTGCTGGAAGTAGACACAAAGACAAAGTGAATTGTGATTGATGGGATGATGGCAGTGCAGGTAGGAAAAAGTCCAAAGAACTGTTCTTCTTCTCTGCTGTTCCAAACAGCAGGTTATAATGGATGGGCTTTAATTGTTGAGAGACCCATTTGGATTACTGTCATAAGGAACTTACTGATGAAGCAATGATTTGTCAAATGGAAACAATGGCTTGGGACAATTTAAGATTCCTCCTGAATTAATCAGGACCCAGGTCAATGATCTCTGTTGGGTTACAATCTTGGAAATGGAGTTGGCTAAGGTTGTGAGAGATTAGAATGTTTTTGCCCTGTGATATCATTGTACTAAAAGTTAGAGCAAACTTCAGTTAGATGCCGTACTGTCAGGCTGGAAGCATTGAAGTGCTTCTGTGGTACCTATTTATCTACTCATGTTAGCATGATTTAGAACTGCTAGGTCAGCAACGGCCGGAGCGAATGACAGCAGTTCACCCCATCACACATGAGCACTTGGGCTTCGAAATTGTCAACCCAGCATCCTAACCATGTGAGTCAGAGATGGGTTGCTACCGGTTTGCACCGGTTTGGGCGAATCGGTAGTACTATTTTGGCCTTGGTCACCCAAACTGGCAACCAAGTTCTGCATGCATAGAACAATTTACACTCAACTGTGCAGGCACGTGCAGTGCACATCTAGCGCATGCGTGAAGCGAATCAGCAGCAATGCCCGCAGCAATCCACCCCTGATGTGAGGGACTGTGCTCCTTTTTAGCTAGATTTCTCTGAGTTTCCATTCAATTGAAGCACAAAGGTCAACATGAGATTTAGCCTTGGTAAGTCAAAGCAGACAAGGAGGCCACACGATGAAGCTAAAGTAAGATGGTATCTCCATGGACAGAACCCAATAAATTCAAACAGACAATACTGGTATAAATTAGGAAAAAATCTGTTAGAAAAGCATGTCATAGATAACCCATTTTTTTCCAATGGGTAGACTTACCTGCACAGCCAGTTGTGAAGGTGAGCTGTGGCCCATTGAGAGGTAGATACTCAGAACTATGATGTGCGAGAGAGAAGCTACTACACCGGCAACTATGGCGTCTTTCATGCCAACAGGCAACATGGTGTAAACAATGAAGATTATGAAGAGGAAGAAGGAGACCTTGGAGAAAAAACATGACATGCCTGTCAACTTTCCATGGAGAGTCACAGGAAAACATACGAGTAGAATAAATGCAAATTTTCTCAAAGATTCCAGCTGGGAACACAGTAGAGATCTTCCATCTCCCAATACATGAAATTCATTTAACTGATTCTTCCCTGGACAACACTAATTTCCTAAATAATTGGGCAGTTCTTCATCTCTCTCCCTCCCTTTTGATAATCTCAATGTTTCCCTTCTCATTCCTTTCATACAGAGCAGAGGAGAGGAGAGGAGAGCAGTGGTGGAGTTCTTTTTTTTTTTTTTTTACTACCGGTCCTGTGGGCGTGACTTGGTGGGCATGGTATGGCCTGGGGGCTGTGGCCTGGTAGGTGTGGCAGGGGAAGGATACTGCAAAATCCCCATTCCCTCCCGATCAGCTGGGACTCGGGAAGCAGAGAATAGATGGGGCGGGGCCAGTCAGAGGTAGTATTTACCTGTTCTCTGAACTATTCAAAATTTCCACTACCGGTTGTCCAAAACTTGTCAGAACCTGAACTGGTCCTTTGGAGGGGAGGGGAGGGGAGGAGAGGAGAGGAGAAGATAGGAGAGTAAAAGGAAAAGGGAAAGGACTATAAACCTCCATCTCCCACCTAAAAACTAATGAAAACCTGAAATCAAGAAAATAATGTTGGCTTGAGTTATTAAACAGAGGCACTTTTGCTTTTTTACATATAAATCACTGTTCATTAAAACAAATAGAGTTGCATTCTAGAACAGCAAATCCAAAACAAAGCAGCACCAACATCTGGCAGTTTGTGTATTTGCGAGTGGGTGAGTCCGAGCTTTAATTTATTCCATTAAACATTTTCTCAAGAAAACACAAATAGAAAACAGATCAAAAGAATAAAAGCCCAAATCATTATGTAATCAGCCAAAAATATCAACGAGGTGGATAGTTTTCCACTATACCATTTGTTAATTGTGAATGATTGAATATATCACTTTAAATGCCCAAACTTCACAATTTAGCTCTGAAACTAGGAAAAATCTCAAGAAACCTAGCTTATGTAGTATACATCACCAAATAAAATTATTATCCATCATAGACTAAGCAAATAAACTAAGCTTAATAGTGAAGTTTGGGTATTTAAAGTGATATATCACGATCACTAAGCGAAATGTTGTAGGTTGAGTACTTCCTGAATTCACTGAGATGCAAATAGAAAAGGAGAAATCTTATATCATTACGGTATATTGGCTTTGATCCTTAAAAAAAATTGTAAAAAGCTTTTTTTCTATATATCCTCATTCCCCATTTTTTATATTCATGTGCCAGCCAAGGGTGAGATCCTCCCGGTTTGGCCTGGTTTGGCCAAACTGTTAGGGACAATTGTCTCTTGGTTCTGCATACCCGTAGTAAAAAAAAAAGCTTCCAAGGATCGCGTGGCGTAGCTTTGATCCGCGCAATCGTATGAAGCTTTCCTCCTGCTTTTTAAAGTATTTTTTCCCTGCCGGTTCTCACAGCTGAGCCGTATAACCATCAGAAACTATTTTTTAAATATTTTTTAAAGCATTTCTTAAAAAATGCTTTTAAAAATGGGAGAAAAAGTTGGCCATGTCCACCCAGTAACATGACCCCACCACCACCAAGCCGCACCCACAGAACCAGTGGGGGAGGGGGGAATTAGATTTCACCACTGATACCAGCCGATGAGCTAACCTTGATGCCTCACCTGGTCCCAAGCACACACCACTCCACCGACAAAGATGAATATGTAACCCATTGTGATCAGACAAGTCCAAATGACAGCTGAGAAGAGGCGGGTGCATCTCTGGAAGATGTTTTCCATGCACACAAAGACCAAGATCAGGCTGAAGATGAGCAGAGCGATGAACAACGTAATCAGGAAAGCCAAGTTGGAGGAGAAATCCTGGAGAAGAGAGGAAAAAAGGCCCCCGGTTAATCTGATTTCAAAGTCACTGGAAAGTAGAACTTTGATCAATGAGAAGCATAGGGTTTGCCAATTGCACAGTAAAACTATGCTTTGTCAAAGCATATGGTTTGTCGATTGCACAGTGGCAGATAGGAAGCACTCCACAGGGTCAACGTCATTGCCCAGAGGATCATTGGTTGCCTTCTCCCTTCTTTGGAAGAGCTCTATGGCTTCCATTGCTGTAAGAAAGTTCAAAACATTCTTCAAGATCCATCGCATCTTGGGCACCCATTTTTTTTAACTATTACCATCTGGCAGCCGGTACAGGATAATAAAAACAAGGACAAATAGGCTGAAAAACAGCTATCCCAGAGTAACTATATTGAATTCTACGGCATAGTGCAATATTAACGCAATATCAGGGATTTCAATACAATTGTATAGAACCGTGATGGTGAAAGTATGGCACAAGTGGCACATTTTCTTTTTCGGCACTTGAGCAGTCGCTCAGGTCCACCGCGTGTGCGTGCCTCCTGCCGGCCAGCTAATTTTCGGGTCTCTGCCACACATGTGGGAGATGCGCGCACATGCTCAGGGGGGCAAGAAGGTTGCATGTGCATGCACAGGTGGGGGCAGGGGAGCACAAGGGCACCCCCTTTATTGGTTCCAGGAGGTTTCAGGGAGGCCTGCTAGGCCCAAAATGGGTCACAGGGAGGGTCACGTGCATGTACAAAGAGGTGGGGGGTCATTTGCACATGCGTAGGGGGGTACATTGCATTATGGCTGTGGGCACACACATGCAGAAACAAGGACAAAAAGTTTAGCCATCACTGGTATAGAAAGGATGTGTGTTTTTGTTTTATTTTTTTATGTATAATGTACACCGAAGGTGACATTTAATTTCATTTTACGAGTTGCAATGACAATAAAGTAAACTAAACTAAACAGAAGTTCAGAAGCTAATATCTTAAGGTAGTCCTCAACTTACAACAAAAGTTGTAATTCAAAAGTTACAATAGCAATGGGAAAAAAGTGGCTTATGACCATTTTTTGGATGCTCGGCAACTGCTTCATAGTTATGACAATTGCAGCATCTTGGGGCCATGTGATCCCTTTTTGTGACCTTCTGACAAGTCAAAATCAATGGGGAAGCGGGATTGACTTAACAACTATGTTTATAATTTAAGAACTGCAGCGATTCACTTAGCAAAAATGGCAAGGAAAGTCATAAAACTGGGCAAAACTCACTTAATGAGTTTCTCACTTAGCAACATCAATTCCGGGCTTACAATTGTGATTGTATGTTAAGGACTACCTGTGCAGCCAAAGAGCTTAAAATAAAAAGGGCAGAGAAGATCCTCACCAGGAACTACAAAGAGCACATGTGGATTATAATAATCCAGGAACTAATGGTCCGATGGAGATAGGTGGTGGGTTGTTGTTGTTTTTATTAGTTCAACAGAATGTTATTTCGGAGAGCAATGAAGTTTGGATGGTGGCTCTTTAAATGTCCAGATGACATCCCAGCAACCAATAACTGACCACCTTTCTTCAGGACTCCAATCAGAACCGTCAATCATCAGAGGGTTTTACCCCAGCAAACTTTTATAAAACTTGAAGGCCAAATCTCTCCAACAGATGGTTTTAGGACAAAGAAATTCATTCGATTAGATAGATAGATAGATAGATAGATAGATAGATAGATAGATAGATAGATAGATAGATAGATAGATAGATAGATAGATAGATAGATAATAATAAATAAATACATACATACATAAAACAAACAAACAAACAAACATATAAATGTGATTACACACACACACACACACACACACACATTTTCTTGGATGGGCAGTTTTTTTCACAGACATCCCAATTGTTGGTCTCTAGTCTTTTCTCCCATTTGTGTCACTTGGCTAGGGGAAGGAGGTGGGGAAGATGGGAATACTGCCTTGGACCTATGTAAAGTAAAGGTAAAGGTTCTCCTCACACATATGTGCTAGTCGTTCCCAACTCTAGGGGGCAGTACTCATCTCAGTTTCAAAGCCGAAGAGAGCCAGCACTGTCTGAAGATGTCTGCGTGGTCATGTGGCCGGCATGACTAAATGCCAAAAGAGCACGGAACACTGTTACCTTCTCACATAAGGCGGCCCCTATTTTTTCTACTTGCATTTTTACATGCTTTCAAACTGCTAGGTTGGCAGAAGCTGGAACAAGTAACGGGAGCTCACTCTGATACGCAGCACTAGGGATTCAAACCACCGAACTGCCGACCTTTCTGATCGACTTATTCCTATTTATTCATTCATTATTCATTTATTTTCCAGAGCACAATTGCCTGGAAAAACTTGCAGCCATTTCCTAGGCAGGGAAAGATTTTTTTTTTTTTGGCCATTACTTGCTTCCTGCTCATTTCAATGGAGATTCCCAGGGAACCAAGTGAAATGTAGACTGTCTATGTGATTGCGCCTCCAGAAGGGTCTTCCTTTGGTTTGTTCTGCTCCTAAAAGCTCACAACCCCTCTTTCCAAAGACAACCAGACCAGTGGTGGGATTCAAACATTTTTACTACCGGTTCTGTGGGCATGACTTGGTGGGCGTGGCAGGGGAAGGATACTGTAAAATCTCCATTCCCTCCCCACTGCTGGGGAAGGTTATTGCAAAATCCCCATTTCCTCCCGATCAGCTGGGACTCGGAAAGCAGAGAATAGATGGGGGTAGGGCCAGACAGAGGTAGTATTTACCTGTTCTCTGAACTACTCAAAATTTCCACTACCAGTTTTCCAGAACTGGTCAGAACCTGCTGAATACCACCTCTGAACCAGACCCTCCTCTCCTCTCTTCATTGGAAACTTACCTTGTCGCTGGAAAAGGTGGTAGCAATGAGAGCCACACAGATGCTCAGCACGATAACCAAGAGAAGAAGAATCAGAGGGTACTGTTGGCTCAAGCAATAATAGGTTTGATAGAAGAGGTCTTCTCGGGGCGTGTCGCTGGCTGCCCGTGGACGACGCTGGCAGGGCATGGCTCCCTGGCTCCTGTGAAGGTCCACTTTGGAGAAGATCTCACTTATTTCTCAACCCCAGGAGTCAACAGCGTGAACAAGGATCTTCTTCTTGGCCCACCAGGTATGAACAATTCCTACACCCATTCCAAGCCATGTTGTCCATTAACTAGGAAACAGGAATTCTTTAAGGAAGGAGAAAAGTCACAACGGAGCAGAAGGGAGGAGGACTTCAACCAGATGATAACAAAGTAGTCAAGACGCCAGTTATTTCTCAGCAGTTTTCAGCAAAATCTCATGTGAAAAAACACGTGGGTAGCTTCCGTGCTGGAAAATATAAAACAGAAAGAACTAGATAAGGAAACAGTAGAAGGAGGGGCTGTGATTAAAGATTAATTGTGGCTGCCTTTGAAGCTTCACCTAACCCCCTGATAGACTTTGTTTGAAAGGAGAACAAAAATGATTTATGATTCTGAGGATTAGACAGCATTGATTGTAGAAAGAAGGTTATGTTGTAATCATAGAGTAAGTGGTAAATTAATACAAGTAGTCCTCAACTTACTGTATGACCATAACAGAGCCCAACATTTCTGCTGCTAAGTGAGATATTTGTTAAGTGAGTTTTGCTCCATTTTACAACCTTTCTTGCCACCATTCTAAAGTGAATTGCTGCAGTTGTTAATTAGTAACACAGTTGTTACGTGGTTCCCCCACTGATTTTGCTTGTCGGAAGGCCGCAGAAAGTGATCACATGACCCTCAAATACTGTGGCCGTCAAAAATGTGAGTCAATTGCCAAGCATCTGAATTTTGATCACAAGCTGTAATCATTGCAAATATGAAAATGGTCATAAGTTACTTTTTTCAGTGTTGTTCAGAGGTGGGTTGCTACCAATTCGCACCTATTCAGTAGAACCGGTTCGTCAAATCTACCGAACTGGTTAGAAGAGGTTCCACAAGTGGACCCAAAAAGCAGGCCACACCGATAGAAGAGGTTCCAATTTTTTTTGAAACCCACCATTGACGCACACACACACACACAGAGAGAGAGAGACAGACAGACAGACAGACTGACAGAGAGAGAGAGAGAGAAAGAAAGGAAGGAAGAAAGAAATAAAAAAAGAAAAAAGAAAGAAGAGTGAGAGAGAGATGAAAGAAAAAAAGAAAAAAGAGGCAGAGAGACAAAAGGAAGGGGAGGGAGGGAGGGAGGGAGGGAGGGAGAGAGAGAGAGAGAGAGAGAGAGAGAGAGAGAGAGAGAGAGAGAGAG